TAAACACATTTCATTACACCAAATACACAAAATAATGTTCTTTTTAGCAGCATCATATGACCCCTTTAAAACAGTTTCTTCAAACTATTGCTTTCTCACGTGAAAAAGTCTGGATCAGGAGAGAAATATGCACTGATCAAGCACTATTTACAAGCAAAAACATTTAACAGGACAATATGGGATTGACTTTATCACTGGAGAAAGCGTTATTAGGGATTATGGATTTTTTTTTAATTTTAACAAACAGCTTTTTGTTTCACAAGACGTTAATTGATGGACTGGAGTGGTGTGGAATCTGTTTTGATTAAGAAACAAACTCATCTACATCTTGAACTGCCTGAGGGTTAGTACATTTTCAGCCAGTTTACATTTTTGGCTTAACTATTTCTTTAGTACATTTTCAGTGTACTGTGAATTGTGTGCCTAATGTGTTTTAATGTTGTTAATTTGTTTTAGTAGTGACAGCAAAATGATGGATAGTACACCTGTCAGTTGACTTCCTGTTGCATGTTTGAGGAGATTTCTGTCGACTGCATTGTAAGAGACTCATCATATGACTTTTGAAATTGCACTCTTTACTACTTAAGAGTTTTAGTTTTCACTTTCTCAAACATTACGGTTGTGGTTAAAAACGTATAAAACTCTATTTTGGACCAGTGACATCATTAAACTCCACCACAGGTCTACCGCACTGCTTCTGATGATAACTTTAAAAGTTATTGTACCCACAAGTAGACATGTTCAAGTTACAGAAAATGACAGGACACCTGCTCAAATGTATACATAACATGCAAAAATAATGTAAAACAAAAAGTTAGGACGTCTGTTCCAGCTATAGCGTATTTTACACATTTGACCTTGCAGGACTGTGGACCTCAGTTTGGTCTTTGCTAAAAAAAAAAATGCAGGATGCCCCCTTATTCTTTTTATTTCATTTTGAAAATGTACAGAGCAGATGTTGGTTTGTAATTATACAGAAACATTTTAGTGCAATTAAGTATTTTTTATTGATTAAATAATGCAATACATTACAAAGAGCATATAAAGAAACATAAACAAAGACATTCAAATAAATTGCATCAATGCATAAATATCTGTTTTTTTAAGTTATAAATTATTAGTTCAATTAAGCGTTTTTATTGAATTTTTTGTAAATAACCCACATTTTAAATGTTGTTTTTGAAGTTAACTCTTTAATGGCAGTTTAAAACTAAATGGTGATTGAGTTGTTTAGTCAAACTGTTGAAATTGCTGTTCTTTTTTCTGAAGTCTGTCCAACTTGGTTTCTATGAAAGTGAACAGTATTTACTGCGTCTCACAAAGCAGAACAATAAACACCTTTTTGTTTGGTTGATGTTCTGCTGTGAACTTTAAGACAAGAAGCATAGTTTGACTAGATGGGAATGGAATGAGGTCAGTCTTAGGGAAATTTGCCCTGATTTTTCATAAGGGTGTAATTTGATCCTTTACAGGACCTCACACTTACACTTTGAAAACAGATGCCGTAGAAGAGACCTTATAGATATCTAATGTCTTTCAAAGTTTCTAATGGAGCTTGTGAGTGGAGGTCTGTAGTCGAGAATGTAAAAGGGCAAATAGGACTGACGTAACTCTTCTTTGTGAGTATTAATGAAATGTGCATATTGAGGCTGTTACTGTACTCTGGAAGACTTGAATGAAGCATCTTGCTTGTACCGGTGCTGTCTCAAGAGGTAGTATCATTTTGTGGGATGAAATCAGTTTTATGATGGTTTGGAAAGACTACCATCAAATAATGACTTATAAATAGTGCAAATGCTTACCATGTGTGAAGAATACTTTTGTAATGAGATACAATAACACTTTTTTTTAAGCATCTCTGCTACATCTAAAGCAATGACAGTTGTCTGGCCGGCCGAGGGGCTTTTTTTGCCGCTAAGTATGGAATGTTATCTTTGTACTTTTTTAATTTTTGCATTGAAGACTGGATTTCATCAGTCTGTTTAAGAAGTTGGTTCACATTGTTTCCTTACTAGGAAATTACGATGACAAACCCACAAAGATTCTGAGGTTTGGACGCATCGATCTGCTGAAGGAAAGCTTTTACTTTGCCATTGTGTTGTTGTACCTTTCTTTATTATCGTTTGCCAGCCAGAAACATGTTCTCCTGCAAATGCATGATTAC